GGCTGATCTGTTTCTGTTTTCTTATGTTCCTTTTCTTGCCCTTTATGTAGACATATGGGTTCCTACCTGCCTTTTGTCAATTGTGTATAAGAACTGGAGTTCCCCTAGACCAAGTCCTCTTTCTGTTGCCTACCCCACCCTCCTCACCAGCATTCTTTAGCTCTTTAACTCTTACAATGGTGTGATTATCATAAAGGAGGCTATTTACTGAGACATACAAAGGACCATAATGTTCCATAACAAGCAACATTTATTTGCTGCTTGTAAGAGGTGTGAACCCACCATTAAACAGTGAGTATATCTTTTGTGTCAAGTTCTAAGCTAAGCATTGTGAAAAATATAAATGTCACTCAGATGAATATAAAACAAGCTTCTTGCTCTCAAAAGTCTACAATGTAGTTAAGAAGTTGTATCTGGCTGGGCACGGTGTCCCATGCCTGTAATTGCATCACTTTGGGAGGCTGAGTTTGGTGGATCACTTGAGGTCAGGAATTTAAGAACAGCCTGGCCAACATGAAGAAACCACCTCTCTACTAGAAATACACAAATTAGCCAGGTGTGGTGATGCGTGCCTGTAATCCCAGCTACTCAGGAGGTTGAGGCAAAAGAATCGCTTGAACCTGGAAGGCAGAGTTTTCTAGCCTGGGTGGGTGATAGAGCAAGACTCCATCTCAAAAAAAAAAAAAAAAAAAAAGAAGTTGTACCTTGAATCCGTCTTTCAGGTTAAAACAAAAACAATGCTGTTATTATCTGAAGAAAGATGAGAATAAGGGGAAGTTGAAATGTCCTCTTTAAGTCCTCTCAATTTATGTTCCAACAGCTATAGTTGTCATGTGATTCTGAAATTGTAGACAACACTGAGGTGTACCAGTCTAATATCCTGAAATGTAATCTTACTCCTTCCTCCCCGCTCTCAGTGGGAATGACATAGGAGGGAAGGAGGGACTCCCTGGGTGTTTCTTCCTATCCTATTACCATGCATCTCATGTCTGCAGTCTCTCTCTGGCTTTGTCTTTGAGGAGTGCTTAGGAAATGGCAAGACTGATGTTGAGGGTTGGGCGTCGAGTGCATGAGGTCACGAGTTCCGGGTGTTGATTGTCATCATCCATGTCAATATGAAGAGAACAATTTTTGGAAGTTTTCCAAGTGCTGGGAAGGTGTGCAAATTCCACTAATTTCTCCTCTCATTCTACATTTCTCTAACAAGCCAATAACATTATTTAGGGCCTGTTCAGGTCATCTGTCACCATGCAGCTCCAGTATCTGTGTGAGTTGCATTCTCAGTAAGTGTCTGTTTGCTGTCTTATATATTTGTGTGGGACATACAAATTATATTTATATTTTACAGCTATATCGAGCTTACGTGGCCTTCCCAGACTTTTTCCGTAATTCAACTGCCAAGTGGTGGAAGAAGGAAATAGAAGAACTGTACAATAATCCACAGAATCCAGAGAGGAGCTTGAAGTTTGATGGCCTGTGGATTGTAAGTGTGTGTGTGTGTGTGTGTGTGTGTGTACCTGTGGCACTTGTCTATCTTTGTGTGCCTGAGTATATATACCACTGACCTTCAGTCAAGAGGATAGTCATTGTCCAAGGAAGACTTTGGACACATCAGACACTTCCTTCTCTCAGGAGGGGAACAGCCTGATAGCCCTCACACCTTATACCAGAGCTGACGTTCCTACTATAAAACCTCTGAGGCAATTGACTAGGAATTTCTTGGAACTTTCACTGCCTCACGCCCACCTTGAGAGAGATTTTTTTTTTAACTCTCTAGCCAGTTGTTCTGCAGGGGTGAATTAATCTTTCTAGCCAGTTATCACTAGGATTTGATGAGGCTCCCAGGGCTGGCATCTACAGGGGTTACTGGATGTTGAACAATTTATTCACTGCTTCCTTGGCTCAGAATTGGCCGGATGTAATTATCTTAAAGAGTGAGGTATGTCTGTGTTTGGTATTTCTAGGATATGAATGAACCATCAAGCTTCGTGAATGGGGCAGTTTCTCCAGGCTGCAGGGAGACCTCTCTGAACCGCCCTCCCTACATGCCATGTAAGAAGCCTTGGCCTCCTTGTTTGGCAGAGCCATGATTGGAAGAAGGATTACACTGGAGGAGCCCCAAGGCCAGGGGTGTGCCTGGATAGCTCAGGGCACATCCTTAAGGCTGCTGTGGTTTACTGGGGACCAGAGACAAAAGCTCTGCACATGCTTCACCCAGCTGGGCAAGTGCAAGTGACTAGACTCATTGAACGAATTTCTTGAATTTGTCCAGAAATCACTTAGCAGTGCTCATGCCACCAAAGGGTTCTCACACTTAGGCTTGTTAGTTTTTTAGGCTTATGTGAATTCCATCACAGGAATTTTTTGGTGTCATCAGTGGGTGGAAATTATTGGCTTGTCATTATTGCAGAGCTGATGGACTTTGGAATTATACTTGGGTTCATATCTTAGCTCCAGAAATTATTCTCTCTAGGAGTTTTGTGACTTTTCACAGATTATGCGATATTTCCGAATTTCGGTTTGCTGTACTGTAAAAGATAGATAATGAGGTCTTCTTCATAGAATTATAAGAATTACATGAAATAATTGACACATCAAAAGCCAAAATCAGAGTCTGTCATGTAGTATTCGACAGCTGTACGTTCTTCCTCACACCTCTGCTTTCTTCAGTGAACTTGATGTTGGAAGCACTGCAGGTGCCATAGCAGCTCAGAGCTGGGGGCTCTGTGCTCATGTCTCTGGGAAGATGGAGAGTGACACAGGCAGGACTCAAGTCAGTCTTAAGATCCAATGTCCAATCCATTGAGGAGAGGTCAGGGATAAACAGAATCAGGGCTGGATTTCACCTCACCAGTTCTTCCTCCTCAGATTTGGAGTCCAGGGACAGGGGTCTGAGCAGCAAGACCCTGTGCATGGAGAGTCAGCAGATCCTCCCAGACGGCTCCCCGGTGCAGCACTACAACGTGCACAGCCTGTACGGGTGGTCCCAGACCAGACCCACATACGAGTGAGTCTCTGCCTTCTCCAGCTGTCACAACCCGGAGGGATTGCCAGGGACGGACATAGCCACCCTAGTTTTCCTTTCATTCCCATTCCAGGGGTTAAGAAGATTCTCATGACAACCGTGTAATGATTCTTATTAAACAAATACTCATTGACATGGAGCCAGGCCCTCTGATGAAAAGGAGGAGGACAGATTTAAATAAGACATGGTCCCACCAGTGAAAAACTTAATGATCCTGGTGGGAACGACACACATGGAGACACCATAATGATCACACAGGGCATCCGGTGGTGCAATAGCTTTAGTTACAGGAGGTGAAGGGAACACAGAGACTGGGCATCTCTCCCCTTTATTTCAAAGTGAATCATCTTTGGAGACTTTTTTAATTTTTGGCCATTCTTGGTGGAGGGTAATTGGTATTCTACTGAATTAGCACAGTCCCGCTTTGCAAACTCAACGAATGGTATGAATTCTTCTAAGGACAGTCTTATGATCTTCACTGTGTTCCTCCTCAAATATAGAAAACTAAGTACTGAGCAAGCCAATAGCAAGATTTAGTGATTTCTTTCTATTTTGGGGGCACTTCAGTGAGTTTGCTACAGTGAAGTTCTTTGTAAAGCACTGTGAGAACACGTGACTCGGTATCTCCATTATCTGGGGATCAGTGGAGTCCCCATTGCAGCTCAGATTCCCATGTTCCCTCCAATCGCGCAGCAAACATTGACTAGGCTCAAGGGCTCTGGGAGCAGAAGCTCTCTGGCCTTTGCTCCCTTGGCCGTGCCCTCAGTTCACCTCCTGTTGCCCTCCAACCAGAGCCATGCAGGAGGTGACGGGACAACGAGGGGTCATCATCAGCCGCTCCACATTTCCGTCTTCTGGCCGCTGGGCAGGACATTGGCTGGGAGACAACACGGCCGCGTGGGATCAGCTGAAGAAATCTATCATTGGTGTGTGGCTCCTTCCCAGGGCCTGTGCCGGTAGGGCAGGGAGTTGGGATCCTTGGGGAAGAGGTGAGGAGGCGGGTGGTGAGAGCGTGGTGTGACACTGCTGTGCTTCTCATTGCAGGCATGATGGAGTTCAGCCTCTTCGGCATATCCTATGTGAGTGTCCTTGGGATCCTCCTAAGCACCAAGAAGGTGGGGACATCTTTCAGAAAACATCAGCAGGCTTGTTTTATTTCCTCTTGTTTCAGACAGGAGCAGATATCTGTGGGTTCTTTCAAGATGCTGAATATGAGATGTGTGTTCGCTGGATGCAGCTGGGGGCCTTTTACCCCTTCTCAAGAAACCACAACACCATTGGGACCAGGGTAGGACAATGGCTTCTACCTCCCGTGTTTCACTTGAAACACAACCTCCGTTTCTGATCTAAAGTTAATGGAGTCTGATTTCCTGCAATATCTTTAAAAATTGTTTTTTCTTTTGAGACAGGGACTGACTCTGTTGCCTAGGCTGGATCGTACAGTGTCCCAATCATGGCTGACTACAGCCTCAATCTCTGGGGCTCAAGAGACTCGCCCACCTCAGCCTCTTGAATAGCTGGGACTGCAAGCACATACCAATATGCCCAGAACATTATTGTGTTTTGTACAGATGGGATCTTGCCATATTTCCCAAGCTGGTCTTGAACTCCTAGCCTCAGCCTCTGAAAGTGCTGGGATTACAGGCATGAGCCACTACACCCTTAAAAATTATTAAGCACTGTGGCCTCAGTGAACCATATTCCTCTGTGTTTTTTAGATTATTATTATATTTTGTTCTTGTTGTTTAGGCAGAATTGTACCAAATGTACCCCAAAAGAATGTCTTACAGTGAAATTTCGTTAGCTGTCCTAGGAAAACTACAGTAACCTTTTCCAGTCTGTTAAGAATATTCTCTGGGCCTCATGTATGGTTATATTTTGTTTAGCTGTGAGTGATCTTCAACAGGAATATGCTTTCTTAAATCTCCTAGAAATTTCAGGGTGACCTCCCAACACTGTTCTCTTTCTCCTTTAGAGACAAGACCCTGTGTCCTGGGATGCTGCTTTTGTGAACATTTCCAGAAATGTCCTGCAGACCAGATACACCCTGTTGCCATATCTGTATACCTTGATGCATAAGGCCCACACGGAGGGCATCACTGTTGTGCGGCCTCTGCTTCATGAGTGAGTGTCCAGCAGGGATCCCGATGACTAATGGATGACTTACTGCATTCTATATGGTGGGAGTTGAATTCTTCCAAATTAAACACATGATTGCTTTTTGACGTGAGCTCTTCAGGTGAAGACCATACTTCGTTACTGTCTTTAGCATAGTGCTATACATGCCATAGGTCATTAATGAAAGGCTATTTATTGAATGAACAAAACTGAAATGATGCAGTACAGCATGGAATAATTTCTTTCTAATTTGGCTGTGCAAAGACCTAGCTACCTTTTGTAGCAGTTTGGTTATATGTAGCCAGGTCACAGGATAAGGATTTCAGGAAGAGATTTGAGGGAAAAAGGCCATCCTTGCATTTAAAATGTGACATGGTAAAGAAATATGGTTAAGTATTTTACAGGACGGAACACATCTACATCTGAGCATTTTAGGCACATCCCGTGGGGAGAGCAGAGGCTGGTGCTCCTGATGAAGCTAGGCCTAGGGAAAAAGCAAGGAAGGCTCAGGGGCAGCTGGATTTCCGACTTGGGTCTGAACTTGAGGAGCTTCTTCAGAGTCTCGGGCTGGGGCTCTGTTGGGCTCTGTTGGGCACCTTCATTTCCCTTTCCAGGTTTGTGTCAGACCAGGTGACGTGGGACATAGACAGTCAGTTCCTGCTGGGCCCAGCCTTCCTGGTCAGCCCTGTCCTGGAGCGCGTGAGTATGGAGGCCTCCGATACGGGAAGGATTGCAGCTGTGAGGCTTGGGGAAAAGGACGAGGAGAGAGGCCTGAGCTGGTGGGGGTCCTAAGACATGATTTCTTATTCTCCCTGTGTCTCTTCCTCTCCTTCTGAGCTGAAGTCCATCACTTAGGTGTTGTGGGCCTCAGCTCCTTCATCTTTAAAATGAGCCTAACAATTCTGGTTCATAGGATGATCAAGAAGAAAACACCTCATAGTGTATTAAATGACACAATCATTTCTTTGTTAACTAAAATAAGGAATAGAAAGTCAGATGGGGACAGTATTGTAAAGAATTTATAATAATCTCCTAGCACTATTACAACTCTTCAGAAGGATTACTTGGCAATGTGTGTACTCGTACTGCTGCTGGCTACCCCTCCCTTCCTGTGCAGCAGCACCTCCCAGTAGTAAAAGGCATTTCTTTACTTCTGTTGTTGATTGGGCTTCTGATTAAAATACCAGTTAATTGCACCTCCTCAAAATCTTTTTTTTTTTTTTTTTTTTTGAGACAGAGTCTTGCTCTGTCATCCAGGCTGGAGTGCAGTAGCGCTATGTCAGCTCAGTGCAACCTCTGCCTCCCAGGTTCAAGTGATTCTCCTGCCTCAGCCTCCCGATGTAGGTAGGACTACAGGCGCCCACCACCATGACCGGCTAATTTCTTTTTTTTTTTTAGTAGAGTCAAGGTTTCACCATGTTAGCCAGGATGATCTTGATCTCCTGGCCTCATGATCCACCCTCCTCAGCCTCCCACAGTGCTGGGATTACAGGCGTGAGCCACCCCATGCCCAGCCCCCAAATCTGATTGTACCCACAAAATTTTTTTCTGCCCCAGACACAACCTCAGTTGTTTGTCTCTTTAAGAGTGAATGGCGTAAGCCTATTTCTATAAGCAAATATTGATTTTTTTTGTTCCCGAAGTCCTGGATACCAAAGTGCTTTATGAATGCCACTTGTTTTGGGTAGACAAATCTCCCCCGTTTGAAAAAGAAAAAGGGGTGGAAGGTTTCCCCATTAGCCGACCTCCTGAGAGATGAAAGCAAGTGGGCCCAAGGCCATCACATTTATTTAACCTCTTTCCTAAGCAGTTTGGTTTCTCTCTCCTGGAAAATGGTGCCCACTGTCTTACCTTGTTTGTGTTTCATTTTAGAATGCCAGAAATGTCACTGCATATTTCCCTAGAGCCCGCTGGTACGATTACTACACGGTAAGTTTTTCTGAATGTTTATACAACCTGGGAAAATGGTAGAGAAAACAAAGGCTTTAGATCTGGTGGACCTTAGGTCAAATGCTGGATCTGTAACCCACCTGCTGTGTGGTCTTAGATAAGTCACTTTAACCCTTGTAACCTCAGTTTTCTCACCTCCAAGTGGAGTAAGACCACTTCCCTCATAGAACCGTTGTGAAGTAACACATAAAGCATCTCACTCAGGGTATGGATTTTTGTGGGTGTTCTCTTTGTGTTAGTTTTTAATATTTCCTTATATCACTGCTATTTACTACATTTTGTAAAGGCAGATGCTAGCAAACATTTGAGATTGTGTTGAAAACTATAGGTTTTGTTTTTAATGTTTATATATTTGCCTGCTGTAAGTTCGTAAGCATAGAGGCCTTTTTGTCTCTGTCTTTTTATTAAATATCTCCTTCCATAGCATAGATGCTCAAAGAGGAGTGATGCACATAATTACCTAAGGCCCACAAGTGATTAGAGAATGTGCAAAACACACACAGAGGTGTGGGACCCAACCCTTGTGAGTCTAAGCAGTGCAAGTACATTTAGAAAAGAGGCAGCAGTGAAGAGCTCCTTGCCGCATAGTTTTATTGCTAGTATGATTCCCAAAGACTCAGCTGGGAAGCCAGGGTCTTCCAGGGCAGCTCTGGGGTGGTGGTCTCTTGCTGGGACCCTGAGAAGTCAGACCCTGATTCTTGGGGTAGAATCAAAGAAGGCATTTCCTTGGTCTCTAATGAGGCCTCTTCTTCTGACTTTCTGAGAACAAAGTTGAGGGCCGGCAACATAGCAAAGGGGTGCAAACAGGGTTACAAGAAGCAGAGCATGTGCTGGCCCCTTTCATCCAAGGGGATTGCAGTGAGATTAGGTGAAAACTGGAGAAGGATGTACAATTTTGTTCCTTCTCTTCTCAGTCCGTTGGAGCCCAAATCCTCCCCACTGCTCTAGACTCCCCTTCCTGTTGCTAGTCTGGATCTGCCCTTAGTGGGGGTAACATGTTAAGGCTCTGCTATGTGCTTCCCAGCCAGGCCTTCCCTAGGAAGAGTGGCCAGCTTTCTTTAAGTGAGACTGGCCTTTGTCCTGAGTGTGCATGTTGAGTCTCTCATTCAGTAACAGAAGATGTCTTTGGTTGAAGAGGGAAAGACACAAGAAATCATGGTGAAAGCTGTTTAGAAAAAGATGAAATTTTGATGTTTAGTTAAAATGAAGATGAATTTTTTAGTTAGGATTAATGAAGAAGTGTCACCTTAATTAATCTTGCCAAGTTTGGATACCTATTACTCGTTCTAGAGCACAAGCTGGCAAACTATGGCCTACAACCATCTGATTGTTCACTGATTTGCACATAAAGTTTTATTGGAACACAGCCATGCATATTTGTTTACATGTTGTCAACAATAATTGCTTCTTACCTGTAAAGTAGCAGCTCTCAAATGAGAGGATTTTGTCTACAGGGGACATTTGACAGTGCCTAGAGATATTTTTTGTTGTCACAACAGGGTGGGGGTGAGGAGGAGATGCTGTTGACATCTGAGGATTCTGCTGAATATCAAAAGGTGCAGATAGCCCCATCACCAGAGAAGTGTCTGGCCCCAAATCTCAATAGTGCTGAGACTGAAAAACCCTGCTCTAGTTGACAACATGTAGGATGGAAGGATGGTCCCTTAGGTTAGGTTTCTGATTCAGATGAGAGAGTAGCACCTCTTTCTGTCACACATCAGGCAAATGTAGTTTGTACGGTGGAAGCAAAGGCATAGACCCTAACAAGATATGATAGCAGCCTTGTGAGATTTCATGCAGCACTGGGTGAACGCAGAATGGGTAATGGCAGGTATGTGGCGAAGGGTGATGAGCAGGCATAAGTTCAGAGGGGAGGATAAGATGTCTGGCAGGATGCATTGTTCAGGGAGGGGCCTGTGCTCTCCTTCATCATCTCTTACCTTCTTCTGCCCACAGGGTGTGGATGTGAATGCAAGAGGAGAGTGGAAGACCTTGCCAGCCCCTCTTGACCACATTAATCTTCATGTCCGTGGGGGCTACATCCTGCCCTGGCAAAAGCCTGCACTGAACACCCACTTAAGGTGAATGACAGGACTCAGGTTTTCCTTTACATGTCAGTTAGCTCAACAATCTGTAATGAAGTCCACCAAAACGTAAGCATCACTCTCAAGCCCGCATGCAGTTTTACTCAACACTTGTTTTTCTTTGTGCTTGTTTGTACTTTAACCTTTTTCAGACTCTACCCTCTTCGACTAATTATTAACAGCTCTTTTATGTCTAAGGGAGTGAGATGATAGGTCTAAGAGTGTCATCTTTCAATCTCACGATTGAAATGGAAGTCAAAATAGGAGCAGCCATGATTCATAATAGTTTTAGTATACTATTGGGTCTAATTGAAGCTTTCCTAAGAAAACTATTGCTGAAAAATTGTTTATTCCTCTACAAGATGTTAAAATTCTAGATCAAAGTCTATGTATAAATTAACCATAAGTAACATCCAGTGAATGCTTGCCCTGTAACTAGAGCTATATGAATATGGGCATTTCCATGTGGAAATTATGTATTTTTTCTTAGCAAAAGGAAAACATAAATTCTGTGAGGTAAGTAGTGTTACCACCATTTATTTCATAGATGAGCAAAAAGGCTAAGTGATTTGCTCAGAGTCACACAGCTAGTAAGTACATGAACGTGGACTAAAATTCACATCTCTCTGGTATCAATACTAAAATTCTTAGACTCCCTATTCATTTGATTCCAAAGATTTAAAGAAAAATGAAGGACTTAAGACATTTGAAAGTAGAACTCCCTCTACATGTTTTGGATATTAGGTCACGAAAACAGAAAGATTTCAGCATCAGGATTTTCCTCTCAAAAGGTAAAGAAAGAACCCAGTTGGTTTGGTTGTCGTTACTTTAAGAGCCTTAAAGGAGAATCCTCTTGATTCATTCACTAATTCATTTGTTCATGATATGAAGTCATATAGCCAGATGGAGACAGAATTAGAACTAAGTCACAAGTCTCTTGAATTCTAGTATGCAGTCTTTATCCCCCAAAGCACTTCCCTTTGCTGCTTTATGTTTGTATATAAACTCTTGGTGTGTGGCTGTGGCTTTGCTTTTAGCTAATGCTTCTCTCCCACCTCACTGCAGCCGCCAGAAGTTCATGGGCTTCAAAATTGCCTTGGATGATGAGGGAACTGCTGAGGGCTGGCTCTTCTGGGATGATGGGCAAAGCATTGGTGAGTAGGGGTCACCTGGGATTCATGCTGATGGCACTGACTACATTCCTGGATTATCTTACAGGCCTGCTTTCACCTTTTCCCTGTTAAAACAGTTTTGCATTTTAAAATATAATCACTTGTTAATTCAAGTGTATAATCCACATTGGACATGATCTTTATTCCTCATGTAAATGAAGCTCAGTTCTGAATCACCTCCCATTATGCAACTGTTGTAATCTACTGTAGAAGGTAGCAATATGGGAGCCATGGGGAAAGTTTACCTGTAGCCAGCTGAGATAAAATTTCAGAGGATTTATGGTCAAGGACACGTTGCCTAATTACATGGTTTACTGTCCCAGTAAGAGGGGTAATACTTCTATCAATTATATTTTTTATGGGATATTTTCTATTAGGAGTTTATAGGAATTGGTAAACTCTCAGGAGGATTGCTCAAGAAATTATTAGCTATTTCTCGACAAGTGCTGTCCAACAGAACTTTCTGCAGTGATGACAATGTTCTATATCTTCTGCTGTTCAATATTGTATCACTAGGCATATGTGGCTATCGAGCACTTGAAATGTGTGACAAGTGCATCTGAAGAATTGAATTTTTAATTTTATTCAATCTTAACAAGCTTAAGTTTAAACAATTACATTTTACTAGTGACTACTCTCTTAGCACGGTTGTAAGGGATAGCCAGTGGCAACTGACTGAGTGGTGAGTCATTTAGAAAGGGGCCAGCACGACCGGGCTCAGTGGCTCATGCCTGTAATCCCAGCACTTTGAGAGGCCGAGGCGGCCAGATCACCTGAGTTCGGGAGTTCGAGACCAGCCTCACCAACAGGGAGAAACCCCATTTCTACTAAAAATACGAAAAAATTAGCCAGGTGTGGTGGCACATGCCTGTAATCCCAGCTACTAGGGAGGCTGAGGTAGGAGAATTGCTTGTACCCGGGAGGTAGAGGTTGCAGTGAGCCGAGATCGCACCATTGCACTCCAGCCTGGGCAACAAGAGTGAGGCTCCATCTCAGAAAAAAAAAAAAAAGAAAGAAAGAAAAGAGAAAGAAAAAGAAAGGGGCCAGCACACAGGACAGCCACGAGGGAAGGGTGTAGGATGGGAATACTTGAAACCAAACTGTTGACTAGTTCCCCTTCACTGGCTGTGCTGAACTCCATATTCTTCGTGGGCCTGTGGCACACATTTAGGATAAAGGACAAAGAAGCCTTTTCTTTGATCATCTTTGTTCTCTGGAGATCACATTTTTAAGTTTGCCTAATACCTCAAGATAAACCCACCAAGACACCAGTGTTGGTGTTTATGTATGTATGTGCATATAAATGTGTGTGCAGACATGTGTACACACAGCAAAAGAAACCTGGAAATTCTGCGCTGATTAGGAAGATGCTGGGAATAGTAGACCACAAGGAAGAGAAGTGACTTAAAAATGGTGTCAGGAAACTGTTATATGAAGTGACTCTGTCACACAGATGCATCTATACACATTCATTTCAAACATTTTGTGCAAACTGAGTATGGGTGCAGGGTTTGATTAGTCTCCATAAAGAGGACTTACATTTTAAAATAGAACACTCAAAAGACAGAAAATAAAAATGAAGATAAGCCTTACTCTCTCAACAAGTAACTTGGAAGTCTACTTCTCCAAGACAAGTAGAAAATTAGAAGAGTATTTACATATTCTATAGCACAGGCCCAGGCCATGTTTATCTTGTTGTCTGTTTGCAGATACCTATGGGAAAGGACTCTATTACTTGGCCAACTTTTCTGCCAGCCAGGTGAGTGTGACTGATATGAAGTGAGAATAAGATTCCACTGGCTTAGGAGGATGCTGAATATCATAAGGGCATAAAATACCACCTAGAAATTCTTCATTGCTCATCTTGCTAATTCACATTCTTCTACTTCTCTAGACTTCTGGTGGAAATTTACTATGCTCCCAGGAGGCTTTCTGCAATTAAACCTATCCTCCTCTCATCAGTAATGATCATTATTCCAGTTTACCATGTTACAGATGGATGGGCTGTTTCTGTTATCTAGCCCTTGTTCCTAAGTTACCTTGGAATGGTCGGCACATTTTGTGATTCCTCCACCTGTAGAATATAAGTATCTTGACAGTTGAGACTTTTGTCTCCTATAGAGTTCAGGGCAGTGCAAAAGACCCTGCAGCTGCTTGTCAATGCAAAGTGGATGGGAGTTGGCAATAGGAGACAGAGTGATGAAATCATGGTTTCCGTGATCCAAAGACACAAGATGGTGACTCTGAAATTGTCTTACTTTATGATCTACATTTGTGCCTAAAAAGAGGTTAGAAAAAATTTGAACTAATTCTGCTATTATCTTTTTTTTTAATCTCCAATTCGACAGAATACGATGCAAAGCCATATAATTTTCAACAATTACATCACTGATACAAATCCTTTGAAACTGGGCTACATTGAAATCTGGGGAGTGGGCAGTGTCCCCATTACCAGTGTCAGCATATCTGTGAGCGGCATGGCCATAACACCCTCCTTCAACAATGACCCCACGACACAGGTTTGTGACTGGCGAAAAATGCGAATGGTATTTTCCACCCTTAATATGCCTAGTGCAGTGCCTGACTGCTTGCCTTCCAAATGATTCCCTCTCCTACCAGGCCCTCTGGGAATCCCTGAGTTTTCAGTGTGTTAGGAATGGACCACATGGAGATGAATGAAAAATCATGGTTTATCATCATTTGGAATGCATGGCCTGGATTCTTACTTTCCATGTTTGTCTTCTTGTCTGCAAACCTGTGTAAAACTTTGTCTTGGCTCCCTCACCTCTGCCTCAGAGATCAACTTTCCAAATAGGTTGAACTATCATATTTTATCAAATATGATACCAAATATATCAAATATGCTTCATTATTTCATGTGCCACAAAGAAAGAAAAAAGGATGACAAAACTATGATAGAATGCTTCCTTATCACTCATTTTTTTTTTTTTTTTTTTAAAGACGGAGACTCGCTCTGTTGCCCAGGCTGGATTGCAGTGGCATGATCTCAGCTCACTGCAAACTCTGCCTCCCAGGTTCACACCATTCTCTTGCCTCAGCCTCCCAAGTAGCTGGGACTACAGGCGCCCACTACCACACCTGGCTAATTTTTTGAATTTTTAGTAGAAACAGGTTTTCACCGTGTTAGCCAGGATGGTCTCGATCTCCTGACCTTGTGATCCACCTGCCTCGGCCTCCCAAAGTGCTGTGATTACAGCTGTGAGCCACCGCACCCAGCCTCAGATTTTTATAATAAACTTATAGAAAGTTGTTGAAACTTCTTTAGACATAAATTTTTAGCTGTATGTTTCAATATTGTAGGTGATAATATGGAGGAAAGTGTTGAGTGGAGACACGTTGCTGATTCTGCCTCAAAGTAATTTAGAAGAGGTAGACCCTAAATGTGAAGAAGCACCAGAAATAGCTTAACCAATTTGTATCATATTTAAATTGTACTATTTAAATTTGTGTTAAACTGTTTTATTTTATTATTTAAATGGTTTATTGTATTTATTATTATTTTGAAGAAAAATCTGTGTTAGTAAGATATTTCCTCTGTACTGCAAAAGGTGTTGGTGATTCAGCACTTTATAAAAATCCTTCCACTAGTGTCTATGAAGTGTTTTCCTGAGCCACTGACACACTTTATATACATTTTTATCCTAGTGCTTTCTTGATCTTACTAACTATTCCTTCCTGTAATAATCCTTAAATGTTTTCAGCCCATCCATTCATAACACAGTAATAGCAATGAAGCTTACACGGGCACAGACAATAATGATTATGCCATGAGTGCTGCCTGGCTCACAGTATTCTATGGTTATCGATTACAAGACACACTCTGGTCGCATGAAAAATCTCTACCTTGGGATTAATGCAGTGTAGTGGTCCTGACACTTATCATCCCGATGGTAAATGAAACTTTCTTCCTTGTGTGCTTACTTATTATTTTTTTCCTGAACTTTTTTTCTTTCATAATCCTTCCTGATGATTAAACCAGAAACAAAAGTTTTCTTTCAGTTTTGCATTCTTTACATTTATTTTCTCATACTTGTGGTTTTCTTGTCAACAACTTCCCCAACTATGCCTTAAAGGACTTTGTCCAATCCTGCTGCTGACCAGCTCATGGACAAACATGCAAGCTGATGAGGGCACACGCAGTGAAACCTTCTTGGCAGCATCTGCCTAGGAAGAAGCAGGAATAGTGGACTCTTGCTGGGCAAACACTGGGGTGGATAGAGGAATAGGAGAAGAAGGAAACAGAAGGGTGGTGCCAAGAAAAATCAGCACCTCCGTAGAGTGGAAAAGAGGGCGTTCTCTCCAGTTTGTGCAGTTGTTTCTCTTCAGTGGTTGCATATTGAACTTTTTTTTTCTTTTTTTTGTTTTTGTTTTTACACTGAGTCTCACTCTATTGCCCAGGCTGAAGTACAGTGGTGCAATCTTAGCTCACTGCCGTCTCCACCTCCCAGGTTCAAGTGATTCTCCTGCCTCAGCCTCCCAAGTAGCTGGGATTACAAGCACCCACCACCATGCCTGGCTAACTTTTGTATTTTTAGTAGAGCCGGGGTTTCACCATATTGGCCAGGCTGGTCTCAAACTCCTGACCTCAAATGATCCAACTGCCTGGGCCTCCCAGAGTGCTGGGATTACTGGTGTGAGCCATCACACCCGGCCCATCTCTACCATTTAATATTTTGAATGGTAAACATAAAATATTAAAACATAATTTAAATAAATCTTGAATTAGTTAAAGGCCATCTCTACCATTGAATATTCTTTGTACTCTAAAAAATTAGAAAACACTTTTCTCATCTGAAACTTTGAGGGCAATCTTTTAACTAGACAGTACAATATAGAAGTATTAGGGGGTTATTTGGACCGTATACTTGCACCTAATTTATTTGCATGCAGTAAATTTCAATACCAGATGCCCAATTCTTTTCCTTTGGTTCCTAACAGGTATTAAGCATCGATGTGACTGACAGAAACATCAGTGTACATAATTTTACTTCATTGACATGGAGAAGCACTCCGTGAATTTTTAGAGCAAGATTCTAACTATGAACGACTTTGAAACTACTACTACTTCATGCTCATAAAAATTATTGTGTGTTGCTAATTGGTTCATACCCACTGTTGGTGAAATATTTTTGTTAATTTTGTTGTATGTTTTGTGTGTGAACTCCAAAGGTTAAATCTTAGCCCTGTGGGATGGGCAGTTAGGGAGGTGTGGAAAATCTATGCATTACCTGAATGTCTCTATGTGGTTAGTATGGTAGTGATTGTTCATCATATGACATTGACTGAAGATGAACTGGGCCCATGATGAAGTGTGTGTATGTCCATGTGTGTAATCATGGAATGGACCCCATTCTCTTGTTAAACACACAAGAAAAAGCTTTCGGTGGCAGTTCCAGGTCTTGAAGCTAATCAGCATCTCAAGAAAGTCTCCAGAAAGAACATCTGCTAGTTGATTACAGGCAGCAGGGGGAATAATACACCTAATTGGTTATAGGTGGGGGGAGCATGATAAGCAAAGAAAAGGCAAACACAAGGAAAGATCAGAGGAAACAGAAGATGATAGTAAAAGTGATCATAGTAAGAGCATAATGTGAAATTATCAACAGCCTCATGGGGAGGAAAAAGGAAGAGTCAACTCACCTGAGAGAAGAGGGTCTTGAGAAATCTTTAGCATAAAGGGCTAGTGGTGAGATTGAGATCTGAGCAGGCAAAGCTGAAAAGAGAGTTTGGATGTTAAAAATAATTTATTTTTGCAGTGGTGTGCTTTGAAGTGTGTAAATCTTATTTCTAATGTATATAACCACATTTCACATAAAAATACGCAATTTATATGGCGGATAAAAATAAAACAAGTGAATTTGCAGGTAATTTTGAATTTTGTGTTGTTTTGAACGTGAGTAATCTCTGTTTGGGGTTAAGGTTGTTGTTTAGCAAACTCTCACAAGTTTGTCTTTCCGGTTCTCTTTGGCATCACAGAACCTGCAGCCAAATCCACCAATAGGATGATAACCTTTATAATTGTCTTTTTCTTACATCTCTGCAAGGAGTCTTATAAGATGTAGGTTTGTGGAAGGGTCTATTGATTACTATTGTAATCATGATAGCAATTGCTAAATTTAGGAAAATACCAACTCTGGTAAAAATAGGAGTTGCAACCCTCTTGCTTAAAATTCTATAGGGTTAAAATTTGAGATAAGGAAATTATATGTTAATGTTCAACAGGAATATTAACTTTTGATGTTACCTGAAAATGGGTTGAAAATGAATGTGTTTGGAATGAGTGAGTCTACTTCCCCGTGTTTTCTTCTTTTCTTACAACCAGGAAGTCATTCATTTTCCCTGCACACTCATGTGTCAGCGCCTGCGTAAGGCTAGAGACAAACAGTATTGTTAAATCATGTGATTATCACAATAAGGGGCGTTTGGATGAGGGCCTGAGCTAACTAGAAAACTGGTGAAATACGGAAAACCGGCCATGGGAATCCTTTGGTCAAAAAGATGGGAAACTTGTCAACTCTAACAAACTCAGGAAGGTCACAATGATGGAAACATTATTTACTTGATATTTAAGAAATATTTAATGTTACCATCAAGGATATATTGATGGAATTTGGCTCTGGCTGCCACAAAGTGCTTAAGGAGAGGCATTCTGACTACATAAATCTGACGGCCAAGGCCCTAGTGAGGCCAGTGGGGTTTTGGAGCATGTGAAGTGTCAGGGACCCCACTGACAGCCTAGTGAAACCTACAGAATTCCTCCTCACAACATTGCTTTTAAATGCATCAAGCAAAATGCATGCTATTTCAAAGAAAACTTATTACAAGATACTTATCCAAATATTAAAGAAAAATTGATATAGTAACCCATGAGATGTGTTTTTTCATTATCAAATTAAATGAAAAGATCCAATAGTGGAAGTAACAATGCCATAATTTCAATGTAATGATCAACATCAACAATATTTTGAGATATCCACTAAAATCTCGTAATGTAGAAAGAGCTGTGATTCCACTTTTGACAAACTCATGCTCTGTGAAAACTACTGTGCTCTGTTGTCTACATTCATAACCTAACAAAATGCTAAATTTCAGCCAGAAATGTATGAAAAAGATGTATCGGTTGGAACCAGTATGGCTTGCCGGAGTTAACGCAGAGAGAGCTTGCTGATGTCACAGCCTGAATTTCCACCACAGTTTCATACTAACTCCCTCCCAAATTTGCACATGGGACCCATGATGAGGCCTGAAGAGATAACTGTGCATGCCTGAGGACTTTCTAGATCTCCCCTTTCTTTCACCAATCACCTGCTAATCCCAGCATCCATCCCCTAAGCCTTTTCTGATAAAAATACTTCCTTAAAGCTAGCACAGGAAGACAGGTTTGAGCTGGACTCCTGTCTCCTGTGAGTTGACTTGCAATAAAAACCTTTTCTTCAAAACCCTTTGTCAGAGTATTGGCTTCTAGCGCATTGAAGAGTGAGCCTTTTTGCTCAATAACACCCCCAGAGGTGGTTCCTCAGACCACACTCTGAGAACCACCTCTCATGGAACCATATCCATTTGTGGCCATCCCAGAGCAGCCCCTACAACATGGACCTATGCTTACAACTCCTGGCCAGCTATTCAGGAAGAGGCTGGGAGCCTTCCTTTTCCACATATGCTCTGTTCTTCAGATCACATAATTTTACTTTCTTTCTTCCTAGGTGTGCCAAAATAAAAAATAACACTCTCAAACTCTTTCACTTAAATAGGAAGACATCTATTCCTTTCTTATTAATGTTTTAACATTAAATGTCATATATACCTACAAAGATAAGGTTTTGTTGGCCGTCGCAGATATCGTCAAGATCCCAACAATATTTCTTTGTTCTTATCATAGCAGCAGAGTCATTGAGAGGTTTGCACCTGGCCTTGGAGAATGGTGTTCTGGAACTTAGGGGTGACTCATATTACAAGTTTCTGATGTGATGATTCCAACCAGCAGCTTGCTTTGACAACTGTTTGAGTTCCACCAAGAGCTAACTTTACTGTGCCTTGTTACCGATAGACAACTGGAAGATGTCGGGTCACGTGCCTGTCTCTACCCTTCAAAGTGGCTCTGTTATTTTCTCGTTGGTCAACACCAGTGTGGTGATCCAATATCTTCCAGTTAGTTAGCAAGAAGGAATGGTGAAGGTAGCTATTTTCTGCACTTTAGGAAACAGGTTATAGATTAGCTGGGATTGCTGGTTACCACTATTACATAAAAGAAGTCACAAATGTGCACGGCATGTGGGGAGTTAAAGGTAAAATATCACACAAAGAATAGAAAGATCTTATGTAACAATAAATCTCCCTTCTTGATCTTGCCAGGATGTCTTCCCAATTGGAAATGAGATCTTGGTATGTTTCCCCTCTAACAAAGGCCACCTTGTACTGGGGCAAATGAAAAGCTGAATATGTCATTCCAGGAGTTCATAAATGCAGAAACCTAGTCTCTCTCTCTCTCTCTCTCTGTGTGTGTGTGTGTGTGTGTGTGTGCGTGTGTGCACGCGTGCATATGTGTGCTTTTCCATATACTGAGCATTTGAAGCAAACACAAAGGATTCACTGCTATGAACACTGTTATTTACAGTTCTTAGGTGCCACCAAAAGAGCCCTCTGTATTACTCATATATTACTGGCAGGAATGGGGATGTAAAATGATGCTGCCACATTAGAAAGCAATTTTGTAGTCCTTCAAAAAGTTAAAGACTTATCACATGACCTGTGATTCCACTCCTAGGTATGTTCCAGGCAGAATTTTAAAAAAACATGCCAGCTCGTAGCAGCATTGTTCATAACAGGCAAAAAGTATCAACAACCTAGATGTTTATCAACTGATACGTGGATAAACCAAATGTGGTCTATCCATGCAGGGGATACTATCCAGACATGGAAAGGAACAAATACTGATACCTGAAATGGCATTGATGAACTTTGAAAATATTATGCCAAGTAAAAGAAGCCAGACACAGATGGCCACATATTGTATGACTGCATTTATATGAAATGTTCACAGTAGGCAAATCCATAAGGACAGAAAGTAGGTTAGTGGCTGCAGAAACGGGGAGATGGGAATGGAGAGTGACCACTAATTATTTTTTGGGGGTGTGACAAAATATTCTGGAATTAGATAGTGGTGATAGTTTCAGAATTTTGTAATATTTAAAAAAAAACACTGAATTGTATACTTTAAAAGAGTGAATCTTATGGCTTGGAAATTATATGTCAATTTAAAAAATCCACTTTAGCTAGCTTAAGAAAACTTTTAAAAAGATATTGGTGACTCATTGAAACTCCAGTAGGACTAGAGAGTCAGGTTTGTAGGCCATGTGGCTAAGGACAAACCCCAGGTTACCCTGTAGGGGTTTCTACTGCCACTGCCCTGAGCACATATCTGGCAGCTTGCAACCCCAAATACTGAGCATAGGATGCCCCTAGGTCTCTTGTCCCTGCTGCCTCTGAAACGAGCTATCTTTCCAACATCCTGAGTTTTACACGGTACCTCCTTATCTACACCTTCTTCTGGATGTAAGTCACTCAAGGGAATATCTCATTCACAAAGCTCCAGTCACTTGCCTCTACCTTGGGTGAAAGAGAGGCTGTGAAAGAGAATTTCCAGCTGTTTCTTTGGGGAGGCAGGATTTGGAGAAAAATTCCTTAAGTTGATTTAAGTAAGAGGTTTTTGTTTTTTGTTTTTTGTTTCTTTTTGTCTTTTTAAGGATCCTCTGTTTATAATTTTTTTTCAACTTTTATTTTAGATTCAAGGTCTACGATTCAGGGTGCGCATATACAGGTTTGTTTCAAGGGTATATTGTGTGGGATGCTGAGGTTTGGGGTGTGATTGAACCTGTCACCTAGGTAGTGAGTAGATAGTGTTTCAACCCTTGTCTCCCTCCCCACCTCCCCCATCTTAGCAAGAAGTTTTGAAAGATGCTGAGCCATCAAAGAATGTGACAAATATCCACTAGAGGCGTCTTCCCACTTTAGGTGTGTATACTTTCTTTCTTTTTTATTTTTATTTTTTGAAATGGAGCTTTGCTCTTGTTGTCCAGGCTGGAGTGCAATGGGGCAATCTCAGCTCACTGCAACCTCCGCCTCCCGAGTTCAAGTGATTCTCCTGCCTCAGCCTCCTGGGTAGCTGGGATTACAGCCGCCTGCCATCACGCCTAGCTGTAGAGACAGGGTTTCACCACATTGGCCAGGCTGGTCTCGAACTCCTGACCTCAGGTGATCTACCCGCCTCGGCCTCCTAAAGTGCTGGGATTACAGGTGACCCACTGCGCCCGGACAGGTTTGCATAATTTCTACCTTAATGGTGCTTCACTATTTAGAGTAATTGGTAGAAAGGATCATTTGAATTAATGAAAAGCTGAGTTATACCAAGAGAACTCTGAGGAATGAAAATGGAGAAAAGAACAAAGTGATGAACCGAGAGCTAATCCTTCTTTCACTTACTTATTAAATAAATAGCTATACATTTAAAAAGAACTATAGATATTGGGCAGAGTGCTAAGCACAGAAGATAAAACAGTGAAGAAGATAGACAAGACCCTAGCTCTTGAGCCCTTTAGGCTACATGTACAGATGAGGAAGCATAACTTGACAATCAAAGTAATCAGATATGAACAGGGAGGGATACAGAGGAGGGACAATGATTAGAAAAAACACCACCTTCCCCTTTTATTAACAAAAGGAGCTTTCATTCTATGTCACATGGAGAGCAAGGGTTCTTTTATGATCTATTGGAATATGCACTCCCCTCCTCCAGTTACTGTCAACTTTATAGGGCAATAAATTAATCGTGGCAGAAGCTGGTTACCTCGGCCCGGTTACCTTTGC